TGTAATACTTATGTCTTAGGTGCAGGGGTAGAATCAAAAAATTAGGATTGAGAGAAGGGAGGTAGGGGAGGTAATTTAGAAAATAATGATTTTTGGGAGTGCCAAACTAGTGAAACTAAAGGATATAATTAAAAACCATCAAAATTTTAATCAATCCCATATCACCTATTGTACTTATCCCATAACTTGTAGCCTCCAACTGGCTGTAAGTTACCCTACTCAGCCACCTCTACACCTGTCGTAACTCCTACATCACACAACTATTAACTCCCCATAATCCTACAATCACCACTACTCGTTAGGCTACGTCCTATAGTAACTTGTAATCCCCCAAGTCAACTTGTCCATCTAAATCACCATATTGTCGGTCTCTATCCTACTCTACACCCTCTCATTGTTGTCAATTCACCCCACGCCATAATCATTTTGACTATCTAGGCTAGTGAATCCAACATGTGGATGACAATTTAGTGATAGACTTTTAAATGGTTAACAACCACCTCAACAACCTTTTCAACGCCTTCACCTTGCATTTCCCATCGCCTCTTTTTCCTCTATTTTGAGTGTTATCATTTAGATTTGATCTCTTACCCTTACTCTTTACTTGTCATTTGTTGATGATCAATTGGGTTTTATAGAAAAAATGGCAAATCGGAGTGACTAAACCTAAGATAAAGTGTATAAGAAGCCAAAACCATAAAGGAACCAAAGGAGAAGCACGATCGTGTGACTTATAAGATGAAGAAGCTACTGGTCATGTGAAATAAAGAAGAAAACCATATGGATGTTTCATAAAGAAGACACACGGACGAGTAGCAATCAACACGACTACGATAAAAAAGTGACACACTCGTGTGTGTCAATGTTGAGATGTCTTTCAAGGGAGAAAAAAATGTATATATATGTGAGTGTGTGTGTGTGTGTGTGCACACATATACGTGTACATACATACATATATACATGTACACACATACACACACATATACCATCTATCCTAATTGAGAAAAGATAATTCTTATCTTACAATACACAACAAGTAAGGCTTGAAAAAGAAAGTCCTTCCTTTTTTTCTCTTTTTATTATTATATTACTCTTAATATATTAGTATTCTAATTAGTATTATATTAATTTAAAATTTAAATTTAACTACTATTATATTAATAAATTTTAATATTATAATTATATTTTTTTAATTTATTCTTTTTTTTTTCATTTCATCCAAAAAGTGTTTTTTATTTTCGCATTTCTTTTATTTTTATTTTATTTTTTGGGCTAGATTGGAATTAGTCTAGTCCAGCCATATATGGGTTGGGCTAAACCCAATCCAAGCCTTTTCAATCGAAACCTAAAAACAAAATTAATTTCTTTTGTCAAATCCATTTGGATCAAACACTCTCTTTCTCTCATTTACAAAATAAATATACTCATCCATCTTTATATAATATTCAAATTCTATCATATATCCCTCGGTTTTAATCTCAAACAATTAATTTTAAAAAATATATTTTTTTATTATTTCTGAAAATAAAAGTGTTAATCGTTAATTGAAATACTTAAAATGATATCATTTTAAGCATTTTAGATTTTTTAATAATTAAAATTAAGCAAGCCACTCGCAATTATTTATGGAATTCAACTTTAAGGAAAAATAAAATATTCTCTATAACTAACTTGCACATCCGTTCTACATTCAACGTTACTCCAAATAACTATAATTCAGTTGAAAACGAAAAAAATCTTACTTTCGAAAAACTATTCATCAATAAAAGGTACATGAGTTGTGCTTGCAAATGCTTGGACCTCTACTCTACTCAACACTCTAAGTTCTCCTAACGAAACCTTTAGGATGACATGATCACGATTTTTCTTTAAATAACTTTTCACAAATTTGAAAGGAATAAACGACATGCCATTGACTACCTTTTGATGTTCAATAAAACAAACAAACACATAAGCACACACAAAAATGAAATTATTCTAATATGCTAATTCCCAATCTAAGGTGTCATTAAGGCAAACATCCAAATCAAGGAGAAAGTTCAAAAAGTGCAAAGTCGTCAACCATAACACAGTAGTTTTGAAATAAAAGAGAAACACAATGTGTGTGTGTGTATACACACACACACACACACACATACATACATACATGTGTGTGTGTGTACATATACATACATATGCATATGTATGTGTATGTAAGGATTTTTTAGACGAAATGAAAAAAAAAAGAACAGATTAAAAAAATATAATTATAATAGTAATAATCAATATAATAATATATTATTAATATAATAGTAATTAAATTTAAATTTTAAATTAATATAATACTAATTAGAATACTAATATATTAAGAGTAATATAATAATAAAAAAAAAAAGAAAATTTTTTTTCAATCCCTACTTATTGTGTAATGTAAGATAAGAATTATCTTTTCTCAATTGGGAGAGATGGTATATAAGTACATACATACATACATACATCATCATCTTTTTTATTACAATTAGGTTTGCTAACCCATATATGTTCATTGATTCCAAACCTACTATATACGACTTTTGAGTTATCATGACAAAGCGAGGGGTGCATTAACTCACATTTCTCATAGTATAAATCAACAATAATTCCATCACACAATATTTTAATTACGGGTAAACAACTAACATCATCCTTCAATTCTTTAAGACTCGATTCAAAAGTTAATTTAGGATTAATATCCCTATTAAACATTACCTCACACTTCTCATATCCATATGCCTCGGCCATATCTAATAATCCTTTAAACTCGTATTAAGTCAGGATTTATATTTTTTCTCTCAATAACCTCCCTTTCACTAACGGACAAACTAAGCGCTCTTTGTAATTTAAACCTAAAACGAAGCTTTAATTTAGACATTTCACCCGATACAAACCATTAAGAAGACATAAAGGCAAACAAACAAAAAAGAAAGCAAAAATTAGAAAACCTCGAGATTGATAAAACATAAACAAATGCATAAAAGCCATTCAATAAACAACAATATTGGAAACCCATATGAAATTGAGTTTGAAACTAACAAAACCACAAAACCAAGGTAAGTAAGGCAATGTTTTATGTAATTTTATATTAAATAAAGAAATCAAACATTTACATACTCAAAACCCATTCAATAAACAATAATATTCATAAAACCCACTCAAAATTCAATCAAAATGATAGAAGAGATAGTTTTTAAAAATAATAACTTAAAATATTACAAAATTTTAAGATTATTTACCCGATTAACCCTACACAAACGAGACGAAAATTTCAGAAGAGGATGCCTAATTGAGATGCCCGAAAGAGGATGTCCGATCGAATACACTACCAATATCATCCTTCATCGATCGATCATGATAAAAAATTAGGGTTCTTTTTAAGATTGAGAAAGGAAAAAAAGAAACGAGATAAATTTTAATATTGTTTACTTGATAACCATGTACAAACAGATGAAAATGCCGAGAAAAGGATGCCTAATCGAATATACTATCAATATCATTCTTCATTGATCGATCATGATAAACAATTAGGATTCTTCTTAGGATTGAGAAAGAAGAAGATGAAACAGATAAATTTCAAGATTGTTTACCCGATTAACTCTATACAAACATATGAAAATGCCAAAAAAGGATGCTCGATTAAATACACTACCAATATCTTCCTTCATTAATCAATAATGATGAACAATTAAGGTTCTTTTTAGGATTGAGAAAGAAGAAGATGAAACAAACAACAAAAAATGATGAACGAGACAAAGAAGAAGATGAAAGATGAAGAAGAAGATGAAATAAATGAAGAGAAGATGAAACAGAGAAGAATAAGAGAAGATGAAAAATCAATGTTGACATAGAGGAAGAGGAAAATCAATCGGACGAAGAGAAGAAGATTTTCTAATGATGTTGTCCGTTATGTTTTTGATAAATTTGAGCGTCTATTTGTTTTTTCATTTAGCTTAGGATTAAATGAGTTGGGTTAATTAGGCCTTTTCCTTTTATATATATATATATATATATATATATATTCACAAAATTATTTAAAAACTTTTTGTATTTTGGTTTTGATTTATACTTGAAATGATTAGAGCCCATATTGCCATGTGTCATTATCCGATTGACTACTATTAGTTTTAACTTGTCACTTAGGATGAATAATTAGGATTAAACGAGGAAGAAGAAAATTCAAGCGAGATGAAGAGAAGAAGATTTTCTAATGATATTGTCTATTAGGTTTTTGATAAATTTGAGCGTCTATTCATTCTTTCATTTAGTTTAGGATTAAATGAGTTGATTTAATTAGGTCTTTTCCTTTTCCTTTTTTAATATATATTTAACAAATATTTTTTAATTCATAAAATTATTTTAATTTTTTTTGTATTTTGGTTTTGATTTATACTGAAATGATTAGAGCCTAAATTGTTACGTATCGTTGTCCGATTGGCTACCGTTAGCTTTAACTTACCACGTAGGATGAATAGTTAACGGTATTATAATCGAAGATTTCAATTAACAAATTTATAAGAGCGGAATGTTTCAATCAAGTTGAAAAATAATAAAGAGTCTCAATAAAACGAATTGGAATGGTACATGAACCAATTATAAACCCAAATGTTTTAGATAAAAGAATATGTCAATGTTCAATTATTACGTCATTATTAACTAGGTCCTTAAAAAAAAAAAAAAACTAATTTGATGTTTCATGTACACAAAATTGCTCAATTAACCCGTTATTAAAATTTATGACAAAAACAGTCCTTGTTTCTTGTGATTTTAAAGGTAAGGCTTTTGAGGCGAGAATTAATGGGTTAATTTCTTTGTTCGAGACTAATTGAGAATTGAATGATAGTTGGGGGATAAAATTATACTTTGCCCGATCCCTTATCTTGTCCTTTAAACATCGAAATCATCCAAACACAGTCACGCGCTTCCATGAAACCTTAAACTCCTAATCCCAGTAGGCCCGAATTTTCACCCACTCTAGCTTCGCGTAGTTTGTACGCGCCAAGAATTACTCGTATAAACTCCTGTACTCTCAAAATGATAAAAATACTATAACCCCTGGCCAAACCCTAACTGCAACAGCTAAAGCTATCATTTCACGTTCACAACCAACTCCACCAGAATTCCCGAAAGCCAAAAACAAAACCCCAGTTCTCCTCTAAATTATCGTTTCATCCTCAATCAATGCAGCCCTAAAACTCTCCAAACCTCCACAGACTGACCTTCATCATGTCGGGGGATCGCCGGGAAACGCCTCCGGTGACCGGAGGAGGAAACGGAGTGGTGGAGCCGAATAAAAAATCAGCTCCAGTGATTGTGCCGAGTCAGAGGCTGAGACTACACGCTAACAAGGAACACGTGCCAGAAAGCTATGAAGATCTGCAGCTGGATTTCTGTCCTTCGATATTTAGCTCGCTGGAGAAATACATGCCGCCAAATATGCTTAATGATAGTAGAGAAGAGAAAGTGAAGTTCATGAGAGATATTTTATTGAAGTATTTGCCTCATGGAGAGCGAACCAGAGTATGTTGAAATTGACACAGCTTCAAATAGTTTTATTTTCTGATTTTTTTATTTTGAAAATTCTGTTTCATTTCTTTCTTGTTTAGAGAATAAGAAAAGTGAATTGCATTGTTAGGGTTTGCTTGTCCTTCATTTTCAGTTTTTCGAACGGGCATGAAATAACGAGAATGTGTTTAGGCTCTGGTTTTCTGATAAAATTCTGATAAAATTTGGAATAAGTTAGCTAGAGACAATGAAAATTATTTCTGATTGCATGGCATTACTAGAAAAAGCTTGAGTAATTTCTGGAACTAATTTTCATTGGAAAAGGACAGAGAGTACATAAAGGAAAAAAATAAATAGGAAAATACCTCCCAACTCAGAACGTTACAGACTCTGCCTGAAAAGGGTAACATAATAGGACCAAGTCATAACTCTATTGAATCCCAATTCCAAATGGTTAGGGTTTCAGTTCAAAATTAAAACTAGTTGGGTTTGGCTACATTTTTGTTTGATTCTGTTTTGTAATGAACTTTAGTTTCTTTTTTTTTTTTTTTGTAATCTTTTACCACTTCAACAGAGTCAATGCTGAATATTCTAATTTGTACGTGTTCAAATCAGTTCACATCACCCTTCCTTTACTTCTATATGTGCCAACTCCACCTTAAGGTGGTTGGACTCATCCCTTGTATGACACTCAGCCCTTCTCTATCTCAATGTTCTCATTTCAGTTCTGCTATGAGCATCCTACTTTTTAATGCCTAGGTCTAGTTACAGTTTCATAAAATTGTCTTTAAAATTGGAAGGAACTTTACGGTTGTATAGATTTAAACTAAGTGTACCTCCCTATTCTTGGCATTGCTAAGGTTGCTGTGGAATTTTTTTCAATTTTTGGCTTCACTTAGCTCAAAGCCTGTAGCCTTTGGGACACTTCTCTGTGTTACAAAATAGACCACCAAAACATATATAAAGCCAACCTAAGAAATGTGGATTTCTTCTACATATGTTTTCTATCAGATTTTGGAATTTTTCAAAATACTGCTAGTTACTGAGATTAAAGAAAAATAACAAGGTTCAACATTGGCTGGGTAGTAAGTAGTAACTGAAGGTAACCTAATAATGGGACTCTATACTTATTTGACAAGATGATGCTGATATTTGGGGATTAGTTTTTAGGAATTCCAGGATTCCTTGGGGATTGGGATGAGTGTGTGAGGATATCTATTACGCAAGGTTGGGAAGGGTTCCTCTCTTTTGGAGTGTTGATGTGGGAGCAGGGGATTACACATTTTTTATGGCATGATACAATTTGTTATGATTCACTGTACTTATCTTTTATAAAGATGAGGTAGATAACTGCTTGTCAATACTGCTTAACTTTATTTTATTTTATTTTTACTTTTTTATTCTGTTGTCTTTATCAGGCTCAGAAACATAGAGAATACAGGCAGAAGATAATATTACATTATAAGGTACGAGACATGATAACACTTGGTTACTTTTTCCAACTTTACCAGTGCAGAGGTGGAGGTCTGTGGTTTTTATGTTTACTTTTGTTTTTTTGTTTTTTTCTCCTTCCTGTTTTTCCACATTTAAGTGCTGCGCTGATTGGTTGGAAGCAGAGCTGCAAGAAGTTTTTAAATGGTCATTTTTCGGTAGTCTCCTTGTATAAACTTGCCTGCTTCATCCATCCCCCTTTCTAGGAAAGTAAAAGAGGCCTTTCTGATGAAAATTGAGACTTCTTCGTGCTTGAATTAGTTCTAGCTGCCATATAGAATGCTACAGGTTATCAGGAATTGCAATTCTTTTGTTTCTTTCCTTTATATAACTGAATACGAATTGTTTTGCAACTCTGAATTTATCTGTTGACTATTTGGGACTGCCTGTTAGTATGAAAATGGAACATATGGAATGAAGAAAAAAGCATTCAGAGTAATCATCTCTTGAAATTGGTCAAAGAGCAAGAAAATGTTAAGAGGTTAGGTCTGTATCAAGATTGTAGTGGAGAAGTGAAGTGTAGAGATATAGATGGTTTGTATTTTGTAAATAATCTTATTTGGTTTTCTGTCTATGGTGCAAATTTCGAGTCTTGTGAAGAAATGAAGTTTGGGACTTGGGAGTTGACTTTATGTTAATATGTTATGAATGCTACAATCATGTAACAATCTGTTTGCCTTACTCATGTGCTCTTTCATATTTGTGCAGCCTTTGAAAAGAGAGTTATACACAATGCACCCTGTTACTTTCTTCCTCCCCTCCTTCATGAAAGCAATCAATGATAATACAGAGGAAAGCCTTAGAAGCATAATATCAGAACCTTCTCCTGGTGTGCTCACATTTGAGATGCTTCAGCCACGCTTTTGCGAATTGCTCGCTGCAGAGGTGAATCTTATGTTTTATTGCCACATGCAATTGTGTGTACACTTGAACCCCCCACTGAAAAAAAAAAAGAAGAAGAAAAGTCTTGTACTTCCAGATGTTTATTTTTTCTTTCGCATTCTCTTATGTAATGTCATTTTCCAGGTTGAAAATTTTGAGGCATGGGTTAATGATACAAAATTTCGAATCATGCGACCAAATACAATGAACAAATTCGGAGCTGTTCTTGATGATTTTGGCCTTGAAACAATGCTTGACAAGCTTATGGATGGTTTTATCCGTCCTATATCTAAAGGTGATACATATGTGCTGATATTAGATAAGCTGCACATATGTTCACTAGAATATTTATCTTTTTCCTGTTTTAATCCATCAAAGTATTACAGATTATATGATCATTTTCCTTAACTCCTCCCCCTCATGCAGTTTTTTTCCCTGAAGTTGGTGGGGCAACTCTGGATTCTCATCATGGTTTTGTTGTTGAATATGGCAAAGATTGGGATGTTGATTTGGGTGCGTCCTTTAATGCATTCCTTTTGCAATTAACATTTGTGAAGGGTTTCTATTTCTGTTTCTTTTTTGGTTTTTGGTACTATTCATCACCAAGTGGTTTGTAGGTCTGAAACATTTTCTGACATAATGACTCTAAGCATGGCTTGACTATGGGCTATGGTGTGGCTATGTTAGCTGTGATCTGTATTCTACATTATTGTATCGTCAAAATCCATGCTTGCATCTGTGTGCACGCACATGTGAATTAATAGGTGTACCATGTATGCGTGTTCCTTTTTTATGAATAATGTGCTGGTATTGGCTACATCTAGCCCATCTGTGTGCCATGCTGTCATCACTTGTACCATTTACAGTTTCATTTAGTCTGTGCTGTAAAGATGCTTATGTTAGGTCTCAGCCAGTGCATTGGCACTAGTGTATTAAACATTGGTGGGCACTGAGATTGTCATGCTGCTTGTTATGTTGAATATTTTACTAAGTAATTTTTTTTTCCTTCTACCATCCATGAATTTGTTTACGACTCTCAGCAACCTTTTAAATTAGGTGTATTAGTTTTTGCTTATGCTTCCTAAGAAGTGTGGATCACATGGAGAGGATGGTACCTTGGTGGATAATAGTAGATGTACTTCACCTTTTCTGTATTCTTTTATTCGTAGCTCACACATATAGATTTATCCTTGTCAAAAACTCTGTATAACTTCATTAATGTGTCATTATAGCTACACATGCAAACACACAAATGAAGGAAAATTGAAAAGACAGCATGGATGCAACTTTTATTTGATTGCATGATCTGTCAAACTCTGGAGTCTAAATATATGTAACTTGATACTCGTAGGCTTTCACGTGGATGACTCTGAAGTAACTTTGAATGTTTGCTTGGGTAAGCAATTTTCTGGGGGAGAATTGTTTTTCCGGGGCACACGATGTGATAAACATGTAAATACAGGGAGTCAGCCAGAGGTATGTTAGTCTTTAATGTGGAATATTTTTCAAGCAGATTAGCACAAGACAGAGCTAAGACTTGAGCATATATACCTTTAGAAGGAAAACTTTCCTTTGATCTATGCTTTTGACCAGCCAGCCAGTGGATTGTATTTTCAGTTCCCCATGTTTGTATGCTGTATGAATGAACTGTCTTCTAAATAATTTTGTTGGTTCACATGCATAAGTTGTCAATCGTAAGGCTATTCTTTGATTAACTAATTATTGAATGATTTACAGCTTTTCCACATTGTAGTTCTTGTCATCTATACGTTGATTAACTATCATTTTGAGTTTTCTCTGCATTGAGATCTTTGATTTCTTATTGGGATAAGAAAAGTAGTCTTTAAGGACCCAGAAACTCATTATTTCAATTTGTGAGGAAGATGGCAAAAGGCATTACCTTCCATTTTCTAAAAATATCTAAATTCTTTTCATTTGGAAACCGAAAACTTAGATTTGTGGCCACTGCTGTTTTACTTGACTATTGAGAATCACTAGGCATGCAGATGGCTAAGCTATTTAAATTGCTAACATTCATTTGAATTTTGAAACTACAATGTGTCATCTGGTATTATATTCTTACGATCCCTTAAAATCAGTATTTCTAAATCAATTGTTCACAACAAGGCTATATGGTTTTTATAGTCCGGAATTTGTGCAATTCTTTATTGTTAATAGCTTTAGTTTTTCTTCAAGTTTTATACTTTCTGTATTTTTTATGGAGTATTTTCCTTGAAAGCAGGAAATATTTGATTATTCTCATGTTCCTGGCCGAGCTGTCCTTCATCATGGTCGTCATAGGCATGGTGCCAGGGCCACAACATCTGGTCATAGGATCAATTTACTCCTGTGGTGCAGAAGGTATTTCCTTTCTTTGCCTGTTAATCTTACACCGCCCGACTTCAGGAATAGAAATAATTTGGTCCTTCATTAGTCTCACTTTGCATAGTGCGTTATCATTAGCTTTCATTAAACCATTTTTTCATTAGCATTTTCACGAGCGAATTGATTGTTACTCATTTGGTGTTAAATGTATTAGTTCTTTTCTTGTTTGTGGCTCCTTTTATTTCAAAATATTTCAAGAGATGCCAAGAGTTCTTACTGACTTTCTTTCCAAATGGCATGACAGTTTGCGATAGGTGCATGTAATTCAGTGATGGCAAGTACCAAACTAATTGGTATGATCCATCCCAGCATGATTTTAAAAGCCATCCCAATGAGATGCCACTTCAGTTAGGAGAAGGATTATTCTTTTGAAGAAAAGAAAAAAATAGTTAAAGGATATAATAAATCATTGTTAGTATCCCTAGCATTACTCTTTCATTAAACCTTGCTTAAGTACTCTAGGATTATATGGAAAGGTTCTTAATCAATAAATCTGCTAACATTTAGATTTCCCACTGCACCATTTATTTCATCCATTGTTTTCTTTTTCGTGAAAAAGTTTTTCTGAAAGATTCAGTTGAGACCTATTACGAAATTTATGTCCACATGTAGAAAGTTTTTGGTGCACAGAAGATTTTGTGCTTATTTTCTACACTTTTCAGTCAAATTTTTGCTCGACCTCTATCTTTGTTAGCCTTTATTTGACCTATGTGTATGAGAACTTACTGGGTTCATAGCTTTTTATGTTGCTTTTCACTTTATGCTAAGTACTTCTTCAATCCCATTACTAATTCACCCTTCTGGTCTTTTAACTATTTAAAGAGACACCTAATGGTTTACGTTTACTCTCGTTTTGTTATTATCTAAGAGTAATTTTTAAAGTCATAGATTAGCATACATTTTCATTTGGAAAGTAGACAGGTAGATGAGGCATTTCAAAAAGGAATTGGGTATGCTTTAATATGAGATTGAAGGATTATTAGGCTTCTCACATTGAACTTACCTGTACTGCAATTATAAGGTATAAAATGCTTTGTGTTGTCTTTATACAGTTCGGTCTTCAGAGAGATGAAGAAATATCAAAAAGATTTTTCGAATTGGTGTGGAGAGTGCTCAAGGGAGAAGAAAGAAAGGCAACGAGCATCCATTGCTGCTACTAAATCGGTAATTTTATTCTTAAAACTATTTCATTTCTGCAATTTCTGGGTGTTGGTGATACTTGCATGAGCAATATATGCAACACATAATTCTAATAAATAGGTTCCATTTCAGTGGTAAGGGTGAGGTTATAAAAAGAAGCAATCCATGCACTACAGCTTAAAAAAAAAAAAAACATGCCTGATGTTTGTTATCAGATCACCTGTCCTTGGACATAACATTGGAGGGAATAGCATGAATTTGTTTGACATTTCTAAACCCCTGAGCCTCCAGCGAAATAGGTATTTACCTATACAAATAAAGGGTGACTATTTATGGAAGTTACATACAGTATTACGGTCTACTGGTGATGAAATCACCATAGCATCTAGACAAGACTCAAATCTGGAGGAAGTTGTGTGTGTGTGTGAGAGAGATGCTTGACTGAAGTATTCAATTCATACTTATACAAGTTGATCTTTTGCAGGAATTGCTGAGGAATGATGGCGAAGCTGTAGCATGAGCTGTTCAGTTTTGATTTTTGCTCTGTTAATTGTAGACTTTTGTAGCTAGCTCAAGATGTCAGCTCTGCTGTTGGTAACCTTTTGAAGTTCAGTTTTGTGCTCCAGCTTACCATGAGATGCTCGTAACTTCTATGTACAAATTATGTCAAATGCATTAGATGAATCTGCTTGTTGCTGGTAGCAGTATGCCTGCACATTTTGTAAAAAAGATTTAGGACCAGTCTGATTAGTAATCATAAACTAAAAGTTCTTAGCACCATATTTAGGGGTAGTTTTGGTATTTGGAACCACAGTTATCATTGTCAATAATTCTGTAACTTGATCACTTACAAGATGTTTAATGAATTTTTGAACATAACAGCAGCTTCTCTCATACATTGATCTGCTGTATCAGCATTTCCTCAAGAGCAATGGTGGCTTCAAAGCAATCTTCTCTACGAATACTTAGGAGTAATATTAACCATTTTTGGTCTTCCATTAAAGTAATTATTGCATGCATCTAATGGCAGTTAGCATAAGGGCTCCCCTATATATGTCTTGAACCAGGGGCCTCCCTTGAGTAAATCATTGCGGCTAGGGTCCGATCCAATTCATCCTTACCAAGCACAGTTGTACTGACTAGTCTTTCTAAAATAACTTCGATAAGAAGGAAAAAGACTTTTGGAGCCCACGTCAGGTATTTTAAGATCCGTTTTCAAAATTGCTCCCGTTTCAAGTCAAAAGATGGATAAATATACACATACTCGTGGGGGTAGTGAGGAGAGGAGTCCGATTCGTAGGGAAAAAAAAAAAAAAAAATTCTTATGAGGGTGGTGAGGGGAGGACTCCTCTTGGTAGAAAAAAATTCGCAACCTCTTGGAATGGTGCACTTGGAAGAAATAGAAAAATAAATAAATATAGTGATAATTTGAATTTTCGTTACGGTAATAAATAGAAGAGAATAGTAATTGTTTCTTAATCTTAAAAAAAAAAAAAGAAGAGAAATTAAGAATGACACGTCATAACCACAAATTTACCCTATTTTTATTTCATAATTTTTTTTTATTTCGTACAAATTTCACATGAATGTTTATCATCATCATCATCATCATCATTAGTTTTGGTCTCATTTAATTTTTATATTTTTAGCTTAATTTATCCTTTAATTTATCACACACACAAAAAAAATCTATAACCAAAAGATTGAAAAACAGAAAAAGGAAAGCATAAAAACAAAATCTAGGTTAATTTCTCCTTTTATTTTATTACATTACCACAAATATAAAAATAAAAAAGAAAAAAGAAAAATATATAAAAAAGGATTAATTATTGACAAAATGCAACCGAGGATGCAATTGAACCAAAATTAAAAGAACATAAACCGAAATCAAGGGATGAAGGGGTGTTATTGAAAAATTGTGACAAAAAGGACTAAAAAAACATAATCAAAGGATCTAATTGAAAGAAAATTAGATTTCATGAGGATGTTAATTGAAGAGAGGAGCGAATGACAAGACCAATTTGGAAGTTTTCCTGAACGACCTATCGTTCACTACAGATATATCCTTCCCTTCAAACTGTTCATCGCCTCCTATGTGATGAAGACAAACACGAATTAGATGCATTCCTAGTTGACATTCGTACCTGTCAGGAATCACCCTTCAAATCATCTGCACCAAACCGTTCTTCGTGACCTGCACACACAAAAACAAAGGTCGTTCCCTATTTCCAGCTTTTAAGGATAGCTGCTAAAAAAAATAAAAATAAAACGAAGCAAGAGATGAGACCTCCACTAGATAAAAACAAGAGAGAAGCGTTTCCTATGTTGAAAGGAATATAAGGTCATAATGAAATGGGAGTGATCTAAAGGATGAGGAAGAAGGGAGAGTAGTATAAATACAAAGGTTTGGGCAAAAACAGAAAAAAAGGAGAAAAAAAAAAAAGAAAGGCTTTAAGGGACCTCTGGTTTTTTAAGATTTAAGGTTTTATGGGTTATCATTCGGTTTTGGTGTTTGAAATAAACACAGAATAGAGTAAGGAAAAGGAAGAGGAAGAGAGACTGAGGTTTGAAGGAATGTTCAAAGAACACTCTGTTTTTAAACATTGAAAACAGAGGAGGCACTAGAGAGGGAAGCTTCACCATTAGTTTCTTATTCAAACTCAGTCTCAACTTGTCATCACTAAACCAAGCTTTAGCAGATAATATCTTTACTCTTCCTTTACTTTGCAGTTTAGATCATTTTTTCGACTTTTTTTCCTGGATATTCATAAATTTTCTATGGAGACCGAAGACAGTGGCTTCATCATTGTCACCATGTGAGAATCCAAAACCTTGAATGAAACCGGTCACCTCGATCTTGGTTGTCCATGGTACATGAAAAAAAGGATGGAGACTTTGATGGAAGCTTAGGTAGGTACTGCCGTTCAGTTTGTCTGGGTGGTATATATACTACAGTTGGTGTGAGAAGAAGAGAAAGAGAAGGGACTGGGCTGGGAAAGAAGTAAAAAAAGAGGATTAGGCTTGGGTTTTAGTTAGGTAGGACTCAGTTGTTAAACATGGGCTGGGCTGAGTCTGTTGACTTTCGGCCAGAAAAAATTTAAAAAACAAAAAGGCCTGTGAGCCTGTTAGTGTGGATTTTGGGTCTTCGGCCTTGGTCTCGGAATTACATAGCAGTAGGCCTCTTTAGTTTAGAGCCAGACTTTATTTAGGCCAAGGGTTGGCCCAATGGGCTCTTAAATAATTAGATTTTTAATTTTAAGATTTATTTTAAAAAGGTTGTCTTGCTCCTTTTGAATTGAATTTTTAATGTGTTTACGTATGCTTATCCTTAGTTTGGGTTTAAAATTTGATAATTTTTGAAATTCAATTTCTATGTTGGGAATTTATTTAATTCTGCCTAATTTTTAATTGTTTTGTTATTTGTCTAGGTAATTTAATTATTTGAACTTTGATTTGATTTTATTTTGACATGAAATTCTTAGGTTTTTTACATATATATATTTTTTTATCCATGTCTTATGTTTTAATTTTTGCAATGTTTATTTATTGTTTGCTTATAATTTATTTCAATGCAATATAATTATTGTTTAGTTAATGTGACGACAGATCGTCAAATCTTTTAGATTCTAGGGACCGATGATGATCCTTCATCAAATTCATCTTGTAAAAAAAAAAATATCATCTTAGTATAATTAAGAAATTTAAGTTGATTTAACAAGTCTTTTATTTAATAGAGATGAACATTATTCTCGACATCCAAAAAAGGAACAAAATGAAAAGTCAATTAAGCAAAATTCAAGTCTAATGTCATTAGTAATTAGGTAATTTCTTGATATGTTGATCACGTCAAAACATAATTGGATCCTATTTTAAATTGATGAAACTCTTGAATTCGAGACTCGATGCAAATTTAATACGATGCCATAATAATAATAATAAAAATATTAATTTAGCCAACAAACAAACTTGAAAATAGACTTAAGAAATAATTTGGCAAAACTAATTAGGAGATATATTTTAGGACTAAACTAGATATAATATTTTTTTAGAAAGAGTGCATTTGAATGATCATTAATTTTCTAAAAGCATAACCGACTTCTTACTTGCAATCTCTTATTCCGAGTGCCCTTTTTAGGTTTTCTAGTTTTTTTTTAATACTCGATGTTGACTCTAAAACATTTGTTAACTTCGGTGCCCAAGAACAAAGAAAAAAAATCCAAACAATTTTTATTATTTGGAAGTCCTCTAAATATCGGGTAGTGATAGCATCATGAATGCACTTAGAGATTCGAAGTTAGACCATATGTTTAATTTTTTTTAAAAAAAATTTATCTCATTTATTTATATTTTCCATTTGTATCCAAGTTATTTATTTATTATTTGTTTAATGCAATTTTTTTTTATGTATTTTAATTTCTAAATTTATTTATTGTAAATTGGGTGGGATATATATGTTTTGTATTATTGCACACACCATAAGAAAAACTCGCATAAACTCTAAACCCGAGTTAAAACCCTTGTTGAATTTAGATAAAAGGGATCTAAATGGTAAGTATGACAAAAGTCAACCGATGCTCATATGGACTCCTATTTGGATTGGAACTTGTTACATGTATAGAAAATTATGGAATGACCTTTCCATGTCTCTTGGTAAACAAGATTAAAGGTTGGTTTATCTTACTTGGTAATTTAGAAAATTTGAAAACTTGAAAAGATTTCGGGATTAGATAACCTTTGCCTAAACCACCGTTTAAAAAAGCTAGATCATATCCATTAGAGTTGAACCATTAAGACACAAACTAAATTGTAATGATGCCCGTTCTAACCTTTATTTTGGCAAGTTATCACCAAAAAAAAATTCGTGACAAAGAGAGTGGGATATACTACTAAGGATTTTAGGATCAAGTCGAATGGATCCAATTTGAGAAAAGAGATAGTCGACCCTCAGATTTTATGTCAAAACTACCGGAGAAAACAGGAATTGATGACAAAATGGCTAATATGGGTCCACTCATTGATTGTTAAGAAATTCTCACACTCTAAGATCGATTTAATTTTCAAAAATCATATGGTAACATAGCTTAGTTACTTACGAGTGAAAACTCATATTCTATGCTTTCAAGTAATGATAGGGTATTGAGATCTTGAGTATCGTCTGCTTCACATTTGAAAGTATATACTTCTCATTAACACTTGAGGAATATTAGGTTTTGTTAGCATGCTCTAAATCATACATTGTGTTTTTCCATAGTCTACTAGAGCAAGCGACCTATAACTTTGTATTGATAGTTACACTTAACCCTATAATTGTGATTAAGCAAAGGACCAAAAAGGGTCGAGTTAATGGTTTTGGAATCTACTTCGGTTAGAATTCAAAAGGCATCTAGATGACTATGATAACACCATCGGATCGAGGATTATGGCACTCGCTAATATATGAAATGGTATTAATACCATTGGTCGAGGGCATGATCAACTTTGAAGCAATCAATATGTTCAAAGGTATGTTGTCACCTAAAA